TCTCTCTCTTTCTCTCTTTCTCTCTCTCTCTCTCTCTCTATTACTCTCTCTCTCTCTCTCTCTCGCTCTCACTCTCCCTCTTCAATTTAAATAATAATACGGCAAAACAGTCTATGGTATTGCCAAGTACTAAATTATGCACCTCTTTGACAAGATTTCAGACACAGAAACCCCTAGATCTAGAGAAAACCTGCCTCATTGTTTCACATCTTTTTGTTTTTGTTTATTGGTAAGTGTTTAACGGCGCTCGAAACAGCATAATAAGGTCATAATATGAGCGCGTTGGACACATTAAACATTTCAAGTTGGTAGGAAATTTGGAATTTTACCCAAGTGGCGGCCGAAGCAAACCTTTACGAATTATGGACCACCAATGGATCTTAAAAGTTCGCAACTTACACGTTGGACCCCAACATTTTGCGCCCTTATCCGAGAAGGCTAGGTGTACATCTGTTATACCATAAGATCAGGGGCGTGGCTGAACGACAAAGTAGGGAGGAACCAAGGAGCAGCAGTAGAAAGGGTTCAGAAAGAGTCAGGAGCCCCAAAAAGGGTGGCAAAGGAGATGATGAGGAGGGGCAGAAATTTGAGACGAAAGCAGACAACAGAACATTGCTAGAATGGGAAAGGATATTATAAAATAAGAACATTTAAGTGTAGAATATCTTCTGTCGATATCAGGATTCTCAGCCGGGACCTATTGAATAAAAGGCGAACACCTTAACCCTATCTGTACGTCGTGTTTTACTATCGTATCCATAACACCTGGGAAACTCTGTGCCACCACTTTCAAAATTGAAATTTTCCTCGTTAATCCTATCCGTACGCTTTGCATAGCAGTCTGTGAAAATGATTTTTTGAGAGATCTTCTTACTAGAAGTTTTCCAAAAAGTGAAGAATACAACCCCGGGGGTACAAAATGACCCCAGAGTGTATGGATATGGTTAACCTCTAGGCCACGAGGGCCCCCATGTCACGTCTGCGTGTGCCGGTAAGCCAAAAACAGCATAATAATAATCTCCGTGCATAACGCCCCACTGCGCTGCGGAGTTTTCTTAAAACATGTTTTCTGCACTGCATGGCATTGGGGTTGAACTGCACTTTAACTTGAGATAGCTCATGACTAGTATATCATCTCGAACTGCGTCAGACAAGACACATGAGACGGGTCGACTCAAATCGAGAATTCAAATCGTGTGCGAAAAACGAGATGGAAAGAACCCGCAAAAAAAAAAACCGGCACGAAAAAAAGCTCTGAGGTACAGTGACCTGATGACGAAATATTTAAAGTTGGCAAGCCGTAAAAGTATAAAAGTTGTTCCCGCTCCCAATCCGGACATTAGGGATTGCCTGGTTGGTGAGAAAACTTCCTGGGCCTTCAACATATTGTGGTAGGGTGGCCAGTTCCTTTCCACGCGCCTTTACATCCCCAACTCGAAGTCAGGTACCCCTACTGCTGAGTGGGCAGGAGGGGGCAAACAAACATCTGTGTCCGAACCGAGGCTCGAACCAGGACTTTCCGTTTCGGAGACGAGCGCATTACCCGTCCCGCCACCGCAGTCATGTTAAAGTGTACAAAGGCATCAGTTGTAATTTTCTTCTTTTCCCTTTCCTTTTCTTTCTTCAAAATTGCGATCTCTTAATCTATCAGGTGCATGACCTTGAGAAAAATACTGCTGTTTAAAGTTATTTTGAGAAAAGTACATAAATATTGTTAAAAGAATAAAACATTTGTTATTCTATCAGCAGAAAAATGTATTATTTTTCGACTTGAGACATTTTAACAGGTTTCCTATGATAAATTTATGTAGAAGTAAGCAACACTAGTCTCCGATACGCATCATGGCGATAAGATAAGCAGGCATGAGGTAATGGCTCAGCAATAATATGTCACGACGCGGTGGAATCAGGCGCTCGTCAATTTTTGGGGACGTGGAGTTATTAGTTGTATCGTCTGGAAGCTGATTTATTTGCCATACTTCTAATGAAATAAAATCACTTTAATAGAATAAAACTAACTCAATATACTTGTGATTGTAGGATGTGAGGTCGCCTGGTTTCAGGGGTGAAATTAGTGAGAAAATGGACGCCAAAGTTTCGTAACTCCAATAGCTAAAGAGTCTTTGCAACCTAACAAATGCCATATTGTGTGCCTAATCAACGTTTTCCAGTACAAATCACGTCGAAATGTGTATTTATATGGACATAAAAGAGGTTGACCCAAAAAAACAAAAATTCGATAAAATTGTCCAAACTGGCTGAAAAAAATGCCTATTTCTCCGATTTCGTTATTTAGACGAGGGCCTGGTGTCACCACACTGTCTCAAATATGCGAGTGTGTCGTGTACTTTAGGAGTTGCAAACTGCTTGACAAGCAACGACCTGATGACAGCAGATCTGTGAATATAGTCAGAAATATTCTTGGACATTTTCAAAAACTATGCCTCTACTGACAACACACATTCACACTCTTTCACTCATACACACACACACACACACA